ATGCCTGTAGTCCCAGCTACTCGGGAGGCTGAGGCAGGAGGATCGCTTGAGCCCAGGAGTGTGAGGTTGCTGTGAGCTAAGCTGACACCACGGCACTCTAGCCCGGGTGACAGAGTGAGACTCTGTCTCAAAAAAAAAGGGACTCTGCAGGTGCGATGAAGTTGAGGATCTTGAGATGGGGAGATGATCCTGGATCACCTGTGTGGGCCCAGTGTCGTCACAAAGGCCCTTCTAAGAGGGAGGCGGGAGATCAGAGTAGAGATGTGAGGATGGAAGCTAGAGTTTGGAGGGATGTAAGGAAGGGGTCATGAGCCAAGGAATGCAGGCGGCCTCTAGCAGCTGGGAGAGGCAAGGAAACGAACGGATTCTTCCCTGGAGCGTCCAGAAGGAACCTGCCCTGCCCACACCTTGACTGTAGCCCAGGTAGACAGATTTCGGGCTTTGATCTCCAGAACTGTCAGAGAATAAATCCGTGTGGTTTTCAGCCACTGATTTTGTGGTGATTTATCGTGGCAACAGGAAACTAGTCCAAACCCTGAATGTCAGCTGGAGACGTAGCCCAGAGTCAAGACGCAAGACATTGTCTCTCAGGAGGGCCCCGCAGAGCCACCACATAGTGCAGTCGCCGCGCAGAAACAATCACGTGATGACCCCTCATGTTAGGAACACTCGCAAACACTACGTGACATGACACCCAGAGACGGTCAGAACCGTAGTCAGCTGTGCGTTACCACAGGGACTCACACGGCACCAAACCCCTCAGAAACACCCACATCCTGGGGTGACTTTGGACTTCAACAGGGTTCCCTGGGAAGAGCTCACATACCACATCCTCCAAAAAAACAATGGCACAGTGACACAATGACAGCAACACTCATAACCAAACACGCCAGAAGTCCCAGAGTCACTCACATGTGATCGTGAGTCTCAGAGTCACGTTGTCACACCTGGCATCGGCTGGATACAGTGTACGGGTGTCCACACACAAACACACTTCTTCCAGACTGCCTCGTGGAGGAGGATATGGTACAAAAATAGTTTATTACAAAAGAAATCCAACCAAAACGCCTAATAATTTACATTGTCATCAGTGCCAGCCTACAGCCCACCTCTCCCCTCCCTGTTCATCTGGGGAGAGGACAGAGGGAACAGCTGTTCCCTGGTTCCACCAGCTCTGAGAAAGGACAAGGAAATGAAGATTTGGGTGGAATTCAAGACAGGGGATGGTGCCTGAGAGTTATGGGGTAAGAGTCCCGGGCAGAGGACGAGATGGGGTTTGTGGGTACGTGCATGTGCTTCTGTGCAAATCCTGGTCCTGAGGACTGGGAGGGTGGGGGGGGGGCAGAGTGAGATCTTCACAGTTTCCAGAAGGGCTGACCCCACAGGGCAGGGAGGCCCCTCCTCATGAGTCCGAGATCTGCCCCCCCATCCCTCTCAGCTGCCTCCTGGAGCTGGGGAGGGGGGCACTGGCCGGCCAGGGCCTCGGAGGACCCCAGCAAAGGGCAGGAAGGCAGGTGGAGATGGGGAAGGAAGGAAGAAATTGGGGGGAACCATGGGGAATCCAGGGGGATCCTTGGGGGGAGATTGGGAGGGTGAAGAGGATGGTGATGCAGAAAGGAGACCTGTGGAGGGGAGAGAGAGAAGGGGGGTGGTGAGAGGCTTGGCCCGGAGAGGAGGGCCTGGGGCTGGACCCCGGGTCTGAGGGGGGAGGGGCTGGGGCTGGACCCCTGGATCTGAGGGGGGAGGGGCTAGGGCTGGACCCCTGGGTCTGAGGGAGGAGGGGCTGGAGCTGGACCCC